ACAATATATATATATATATATATATATATATATATATATATATATATATATATGCATTATTTTATATGACTTCTAAGATTATTTGATAGCATATAACCTCCAACATTTCGTCTAAAATGTCTGAAAATAGCTCGTGGCTCTTATTTACGAAGTTAAGACAACTGGTAGGCTAATGTGTAAGTAGACGATGCACTCTGCCAATACTTGTAACTATCCTAACATCATAATACTTTAAAGTTAAATGTGAATTTGCGCAGGGTTTTACTAAGAGATCAAATATGGTATACTATATCTCTGCATTAAGAAAACCTAGTCACTATTAGCAACAGTGAAGAGCCTGCAAGTCTACCTAGCCAAATTTCCTATCACTCAGTTCTTTTCTTACATGATCGTGCGCATGATAGAGTACAGGATTGTGATAATGGTTAATTGATTTGTTTTTTTATGGTTTATCAACCTTTTGAAGTTTACTTAAAGCTATAAATAGTATTGCATTGTAAGTATTTTTCGGGGTTGATAATGATTTACTGATATAAGTTCTACTAATTAACCCATATCTGGGGGAGAGAAGAAATTGATTTATACCTTTACCAAGGGTATTTGGGCGTAAGTGAATATAACCAACCCTACTGGAATTGGAACTCGGCACTCCGATTAACAATTCCGAGTCATTATTTATTACACTACGCACACATCCATGCTTACAGCATCTGGTATTCACAAAGAGAGACCAATCTATGTATTGACCAGACTCGTACGAGTATCTTTATTTTAACGTCATATGGCCGTATATCTGTCAAAGAAGATTATAATAAAACCTGTACAGATATCGATCTGCATATATGATCATTTATTGTTATACGGCTATGTTTATTTTAAGTTATATGATGATTAATTCGTAAAACATATTCAAGTTATTGATACCTGGCACAGGGCTCCGTCTGGTAATACGGCTACAACTAGCTTGGCACCACTCTGACCAGCTTGGACAAGCTATGACCAGCTAAGACCAGCTATGACTAGCTTAGACCAGCTCTGACCAGCTTGGACAAGCTATGACCAGCTTAGACCAGCGGCCTGAGTGAAAACGCTCGGTCCCCCACGTTAAAAACCGACCTTGTGTCAAAACCTGACTCAGTCGCGGGTCAAGTAAATAAACCTGGCACAAGGCTCCGTCTATGTGCTGGTGGTCCCACGGCTACGACTAGCTTGAACCGGCTCTGACCACCTTGGACAAGCTATGACCAGCTAAGACCAGCTTAGACCAGCGGCCCGAGTCAAAACACTCAGGTCCCACGTTAAAAACTGACCTTGTGTCACAACCTGACTCGGTGAAGGGGTGGGTCAAATAAATATCCATATTCAAGTTATTGGAATTTAATTTTCCACGCTCTGAATATGTGCTTCAAATTAATCATGATGAACGATATTTCCCTACCTACAGTTCAATGGCTGAACCCATTTTGTAATTTTCAGTACCTCCGAAATCAAGATGGATCTTTCTCCTGCCACAATCAACAGTTGAATTCTCAACGAAGCATCATGATTTAAAGGTCTATTGCGACTCATGCTCAATCGAAACCTCAGGTGTGACTCATATATACGATCCATCGCTAACACATTGCTTGGAAAATGGTCGACTCCTTGGACCATTTCAGAAAGTACATGACTTCTTCTGCCATGCTTTATCTTTGCAACTATCAGATTAGACCAAAAATGAAATGTAGCTGCCATATACAGGCTGGAGCTGCCTAATCTTCACTTTCCATCTTTGACTGAAGTCAAGATCGTTTACGCTGTCTTATAGGGGAAGGTTATTTTTCCACTCTGCATCTTCTTTCCCCCAGCAAGCCTTTCTCGCTATTTCCACGGCAAATGTCCACATGAACACCACTCTTTAGTTCCATGAGCTCAGATCGTTACAGCTTGGATACACTTTGCTACTCATTTCCTACGTATTCAGTTTTCTAAAGAGGAAGAAAAAAAACCTGCTAATTTATAGAACGAACCCTCGTCAATGTTTCTGTTAGGACAGGCGTCATAACCAAGGGAATTAACTCTCTCCCTAGATGGGAACTAAATTATGCTCTTGGTAGAACCCTCCAAGAAGAAAAGGTATTTTCAAGATGGCTGTTGGGCATTCTCTCATGTTATCTCTCGGACACTCTTAATCCACCCGTAATCTATTGGTTATGCTCACATCAGTTGTTTACTAATAGTGAATAAAATGTATGAAATTTCGTGTTGCCTGTTCGTTCTTATTCGACACAAATAAGCAAACTCACGGACACAACATCTTCCTTGAACGCTGCAAGCTTAACCCCAATAAATTAAGGGGTCAGTCGCTATCTTACCTCCTTGTTCCCATAATTTTCACTTCTACTTCGTCTTACGTTTTTATCAAACATTTCATTCATTGAACCTCTAGCATGAGTGAACCTTGAGCTTTTTATTGTGCGAACATTAGTATTTGAAAAACATTCAACAGTTTTTGGGAACTGGAATCAAGTTCAGAACAGATCGTAAGTCGGTGTTTTACAAACTCCCTCTAGGTAATTTGGATCGCTAAGATAAAGCCGGTGGTAGTCGCAAGATTTAGAATGGTCATCCAAAAACAAGCACTCGTTATGGGCAAAACTAGGCGTAATCCATACAGTTTGAAAGACATTCTCTCACACATCGACAAAGTGAATAAAATGCAGAAATCGATACTTCGTTACCTGACTGTTGATCAGCAGTTTGTTTGGTTTGACGCTGGTTGCAGTTGACTTGTTTTTTAACCCATTAATATCGACCTCCCCAAAGTGGATTCTGCATGCTAATAAGGAACGTAACTTTCTTTATTTTGACAAACTCACTTCTACCTGAACCTTCCTAAAAACAATCTATGGGGGTAAGAAATAAAAATGGAGGTGGATGGAATCAAGTTTGACAGGAAGATTGCAACAGAAGAGGCAAGAAGAACATTAGGTTTATAATTCCCAGTTTCTTCTGAGTTCTCCCACGAGACGATAACCTAATTGAAGTGATAGGTCATGAATTTGGTGGCATAGTAATTATAGTTCAATCCCTGGGTTGGGTAGCACAGGCACAGTTCGTGAAAATAGCCCCGACCGAGGAGTATTAAAAATAACAAAACGAGGTATCCTTGGGCATGGGCAGTGAAACGTGAAAAATCTAGGCCTATAGAATAAATAGAGGTTTCAGTTGGAAATTTCCTGAAGGTTACTCAAATCGAGAGATGCCTGAAGAAGACCGGAGTGCACAACGGCCGAAATATTGTGATGATAAAAGTAAAGATGAGGATTTTAATAAAGAATTAAAAGTTACCAATTCTGCAGTGGTTAAAAGAAAGATGTATATTCTCCTGCATTATAATGCAAGAATTCAAATTTCACAAATTAGCAAGCTCTTTCTCTTCCCTACTTATTAACTGATGTCTCTTCCAATTATCATTTTACATTCTTTAGATGTTATACGCGCAAATATAAAAAAAATGACCAGTTAGAAAATATCTTTCTAATATGTGTCGACTCCCATGATCCTAGTTTTTATTGATAAAAGAAAGTCACTGCCAAATTATTATCAAAAGTGTATTGATTCTACTGTGTTTAAGGTTGAGTAATTTTGAGCCGAATTATGATATCTTGAATATTCTGGTTCAAAGCAGACATTTATTTTGTCCTAAAATAATACAGGATACGTCCAGAGTCTAATGAATCAGTCTCCTTCTTTGACAACGCACTTAACACTCTAAGCCCTGACCACCTCTTTACCGGTGGTAGAGGAAAATGACTTAATGCCCAGCCACCGGTTGAATCGTGGGTAAACACTTGCGTCGTGTTTTCCTATTGGTTGTCTTATTTTGAAGAGCCAATCAGAAAAGACGTAATATTCTGATGTCATCGAACCATATACCAACATATCTGCGCATTTTCATTGTGTTTTGTGCATGTTTTTTTTTTTTTTTTGATAAAAAATTAGTTTTTACCATGAAGCGTACAGAGACTCAGCCTGGACCGTCAAGGAAGTAATCAGGAAGTTATATTTGTAACTATTCATATATATACCGTGAAACGTTACATACCAATTATTTGTGAATTTTGACTCAGGAGATCAAGCAGAAGAAGGGTTAAAATTGTTTAGGAACGCAGGGTTCAAAGTTAATAGTGAATATTAATCACATAGATCGAATCATTAAATGAAAATTTCAATTCAAAATTCGGCTAATAATCATGTATAAGACCTATTGAATCACGTACATTAGTGGGAAAATGCCCTTACAGTTAATAAAAGCCTGTAATGATACTCTGAGTGGATGTTTAGTTAACAAATGTGTTTTAAGAGACGATGAAAAAAATGACATATATCCAAAGGGGCACTGAAATAGCGAAAGCGGCATCCCAGAAACTAAACAAATAATTAAGAAACATGAAAAGATCGTAGGAAACAAAAATAAAATTCTTTAGCTGTTATATAATATCAATCATTCTTTATGGCATTGAATGCTCGAAAATTTCATGACAGATGAAGAAAAGACTTGAAGTAAAAATAGATGTTATTCTTCAGAAATAAATTTGGGCAACGTAATTTCAAAGAAAATGGGCATAAAAAGGATATTTATACTTAAAATCAGGAAGAGACAGTGGAAAGGACACATAACGAGAAAAGAGGGCATGGAGAATTTGATACTCACATGGCATACCAAATGTTGGTTGTTTGTGCTTAGCGGCATATCAAACTCTATGTGATATTCAAAGCCGATATCTAAATATTTTGTAAGCATTTTTTTTGAGAAAATAATGGTTTTAGTGATACAAGACTTACTAATTTAACTCAAAACAAAACAAAAAGAAAAAAAAAATTAACTCATAGCTGGGGGTCGGGGGAGAAGTGGAATCAGACCTTTCCCAAGCGTATATCCGTGTAAGTGGAAATAGAACTCAGCTCGCTGATTAATAATTCTGAGCCATATCCATTACACCACCCACACATCTAAGCTTACAGTGCCTGGTATTTCCAAGCGGTCACCCATCTAGGTACTGACCAGGTTCAGCATTGCTTAACTTAGGTGATCGTACGGGAAACCGTTGTTTAAACGTGATGTGGACGGAAGCTCATGCAGAAGGCAAAAGGGTAAAGAGAACGGCAAGTAACATACCTAACGAGCTTGTGTAAATGGATAGTAGAAATTGAACTGGATGTGATAGTAACAAGACAAGCATTGACTTACAAAGAATAAGAAGATGTAGAGAGACAGTATCTAGCCCATAAATGAAAGAGAAACTCAATACAGTGCAAATTAATTGAAACAACCGCTTTAGTTTCCTTTCTTTCATTTTTAAGGTTAGTTTTAGACCCACGGGATTGACAGGATTTAATCGATTTCTATTTTTTCCTCAGATTAGGTCATTTACAGTAGTGTGCAGTAATATGAATCTATTTTTGGGGTGTATGATGAAATTTGTTTCGGTCTTGACAAATATTGCGTCCTCCGTGATTGCATCAGATTTTCATCACGCCCAGACACTATTGTCTCGGTTGTCGATTAGTTGTCCTACGGCTATTATTTGCAATGGACGTTACTCCAATGAAGCGCACGAAAATTGGAACACACTGCATGCACACACTGGCAAGTTTTACAATTTAGCAAATCAAAGTACTATCGACTGGCTTGGAAATCCAATCGAGAATCTGTGGTCAATCTGCAAGGAAAGACTTCGTGGAATAGACATATGAGGTACTAACATGTGCACTGGTCATGTTTCATTACAAAAATAGAAACTATAGGAAATAATAACGGAATTATTCGTTTTGTTTCAATTAATTTGCAGAAATATGTAGGTGCATTATTGTACTATTCCTACAGACTATTGCATCAACCCGTTATTTGTAAGGATGCCCAATTGTGATAGATACTTGTTATGTAAATGGTCAAGGATGTATCAAAATGACCAACCGAGGCGTTATTTAAATTAAGCGAATAACCTTCCACAGTTTTCCGATAATCCTACCGTTGTTCAACTTTAGCGAGAGTATCAAATCCCTTAGACGCACACGTCCATTTCTCGATCGTTCATCGACCGGACTGATTACATCGAAAGGAAGGAATTAGGTTTACATTTCATGGTAATGAGTCTGAGTAGCGTTGCCATAGAAACGGAATATTTAGTGTCTTCCTGTCTGTTCCCTAAAGCGTTGCTGTCTGCTTTCAAAGGAGTTTCACACTCGTGAATACGTATTAGATAAAATGCAATGTTACATTGTCTTGCTTTTAGATATTTGCATTCGAATGAATGACAGGCGAAAATGGTTACATCTCAACAAGAAGAAATGCTTGTGTGTACGTTTGCCTTTGCTCCAATGATATCTTCTACAGCCTGAATCAAAATTTGAATGTAATCCATACATAAACCAGGATTCTACAAAGGCTCATTGAAAACTTTGATAAATTCTGCTATATCTTAGTGTTTCTGGTGGCTTGACTTCATGTAATTGTTCACAAATCCACGGTCTTCAGTTCGATTCTTACTGGGCGCCTCAATACATATGGCTTTATGTCCGAAATAAGTTTACTAAATGTTTGTGTGTAAGCGCATGCGCGTAATATGTTACACTGAAATAAACAGAGAAAAAACGCGAGGCAAATAAAAATATCAGGAGACAAATGGAAAGAAGAATGAAAGGAAAAAGCACAAAGTGCAGCAATTATTGGCAATGGCCATTTTTCTCGTTTATAAGTCGGTTCTCTATTTTCGGATCTATTTTCAGAGTGAACACAGATCCGAATGATATAAAAGGTGATATCGTCAACTTCTCCACTTTACGGTACAAGACTCAAGCTATCTTGCGTTTATGTATATAAGAATTTTAATTTATGTATATAAGAATTTTAATTGTAATTGTAAAATTATCCTTTTCCCATACAGGAAGCATTCAGCATTCATTAACCGAAGATTTTGTGTTAATGTTGGTTGAAATTTATAAAATATTTTTCTCAAAAGAGTTTTTCAAGAATTTAGAAATCTCAAATCGATTTTCTGTAGGGCCAGAGTCGCGTTTATGTTTTGCAATGGAGTGTCGAATTGGAAAAGTTCAGACTGAGGTTGAATCGGGTAGCTTCGTGTGGGCGGAACTTGTGGTGTCACATTTGTCCAAAGAGTGTGAGTTCAATACGCGGTTAAGGCAGTGGAGAACTTCCAGAGGGGAATTAACAAGAGGTAAATGATAACTGACATCCATTAAACATGGCACGTGGAACTAGAGCAGTCTACTCCAGTGAGCGAAATAAAGGGTTCAGTTCGATATTCCAAACACCTGTGAAAGTTTTAATGTAAGGACAAATGGTAACGTGATTAATGGATTCCTTATTAGGAAACATTCGGCATTTATTGGTCGAAGAGTTATTTTACCACCAGTTGAAATTTATAAAATATTTCAGTTAAAAGAGATCTTCATGGAAAAAGGTTTTTCAGGTCCACTGACTGTTATCGTCCTTTCTAGTAGTGAGAGGAGTTTGCTTTCTAGCCTTATGTTTAATATCGTGTGGCATATCAACATTTTGATTATATCATTATTATCTCTTCGAGTAAGATGTGCTATCAGTATCGTCAGGTGATATGGTTTCTGTTATTTGGTAAAGTTCTTTGTTCATGATTTTGTAGCGCCAATCTACAAAATCCAACGAAGCACAGTTCCTGACGGGAAATAAAAGAATAGACTGATTTTGCCATCCGACACTTCCCGGTGAGGGTGACCTGCATATTTAAAACTATCACTATTCGAAACCTGTTTTATATATCGAGAACCAATTAAAACCCCTTTTAAAATATGGTATTAACTCACGGTGGAGTAATGGACAGCGGCACGAATTAAGGAATCGGAGAGCCGAGTTCGAATTCCAGTCGAATCCATTACATTCACTTACGTGCTAATGCCCTTGGGAAAGGTATGAATCCTCGTCTTCTCTCTCCAATTATGGGTAACTAGCAAGAGACTGGGTTCTGTAGCCTTGCATGTCAACTGGTCTACCGTAGAAAGAAATGGAAACCTACTGCGGGAAAAAAAATCTGCCTCGTCAGTCATGTATCTTTCTTACGTGCTAATACCCTTGGAAAAGGTATGAATCTTCTTCTTCGCCCCTATGGTTAAATATGCAGAATAGACCGGGTTCTATAGCCTTGGATGGAAACATGTTTACTACAGAAAGAAATGGAAAGCTACTGAGGGAAAAATCTGCCTCGTCAGTCATGTATCGAAAGATACATGATCGCCTAAGCGTGTATCACGCATTGCATATAACGGAGTGACTATCTCAGCCACGATCCAGATCCAATAGTTATTTATTAAGAATTCGCTGGAGATGTTAATCCTTCTTCATCGTCATTTTGTACCTTGTCCCTTCATGTGGTAGGTGACCATGTCTCTCCACAATTTCCTGTCGCTTGTAGGTCTTAATAAACTTTGTTTTTTTTTGTTATTTCTCCTAAACCCTGTCCCGTCTTCCATTTACTCAATCACACTAAGAATGTTATACGTTGTTTTCCTCTGTCCCTTTTACCATGTGAGCATCAGATTTTCCAAGTCCCCCTTCCTCATTATGTGCCCAGAAACCTCAAATGTATAAGTTACCTTTTTGTTTCCATTTTCTCTAAATCTTCGTTATTGCTCAAACAGAGGTTGGAAAAAATAATTGGAACAGTTGCAAAATCCACTCCTATATTTCAAAGACCTATTATATTAAGAACTTTAAATAAACTTCGTAATTACAGGTTTATATCTATTGTAAATACGTTTATTTATCTAATTTACTGTCTTTGTCTTATTTATTTTTAGAATTTAGTAAAATTTAAGCTAAATATGTGACCTCTCCGAGTTCGAAAAAGAGCAAATTGTTGGAGCTCGCATGGCAGGAGCCTCGATCACTAAGGTTGCCGAACTGTTTGATTTTTCAAGTGCTAACATATCAAGAACACTGATGCAATTCGAGAAACAGGGCAAGACCTCTAGCAACCGTAGCAATTCGGACCGGACTTGAAAATCTGCCTCTGAATTTGAACTCAGTTCTCTGATTTTTCATTCCGAGACTGTATCCATTGTACCAACCTTCCAGGATACTCTCTCTCTCTCTCTCTCTCTCTCTCTCTCTCTCTCTCTCACACACACACACACACACACACACACACACACACATATATATATATATATATATATATATATATATATATATATATATATATATATATATATATGAAGAAATGTCTGTTTTATCGTGAGATCTTCAGAATGTTTCTGTAGAAGCACATTTCTCATGCTTCAAGTTTCTTCATCTTTGAAATTATCCAGCACTCACTGCCATACAGGAGAAAAAGTATTACATAACAGTTGAGCTTCCTTGCTTTCCCAATTCGCCTTCAGAGTTCAGTGCCACGCTTTCCGTCCCCTGTTAAAGCACTTCCCAAATAATTAAATTTCAGAACTTGTTTGAGTTTGGTATCTCTAATTTGCAATTCACACTTTGGGCTCATCTCTATTCTATAATCCTAATTCCGAGTCTGTTTTTGTCTATGTGTGTGCGAATGCGTCTAAAAATCCTGAGAAGATAATTGCTAAAATATAATCTTAATCTGTCTTGACTAATAGAATAACGTCTTTTCGCCTTATCTGCTTCCATGATTTTATCAGAGATACTTTTTGTTTTAATTCTATACAACACAAGAAAGTATAAATGTCAATTCTAAAAGAAACTTTCATTTTTTTTTCTTTATCCTTCAGATACTAACAGGATGTTTTTGAATGCTGAAAAACTTCCGATTTCGTCATTCTAAACTTTAGTTCATATGTTTATTGTTGATGGCGTTGACTGGAGGCGGGTTTTTTTCCTGAAGTCAGTTACTATCAGTTGAACATTGATGAGTGACTGAAAAGTTACTTAGTTTCTGTTTATGTATACTGAAAGGAGAAAGATTGGCAGAAGTAAATTAAGGAGGGCTTGCAAAAACAGGAGATAATCATCAAAGTGAGAACTCAAATGCATATATATATATATATATATATATATATATATATATATATATATATATATATATATATGTGTGTCTGTATGTTCGCGCGT